ATTTATTTTACTATGGCATCAAATGAGGTACATAAGAATTAAGAACACATCAATCCAATAACGTAAGAAAACTGTAAATGTGATAACATGACCATTTTATATGTGTACAAATAAATTAGATATATTAATTATTTAATAAATTTTAAAAATTAAAAATTACTTTATATATATATATATATATATATATATATATATATATTTGACATATCAACAATGTGACTGTAAATCTATATATGATCAAAACATCTCATTAATATTGACAATGACAACAATTAAACTTAAGTTGGATGATATGTAAAATTCTAACATTGTTTTTGTTTTCAAATTTAAAACAGTATTGATAGTTTAGATGTGGCAAAAGTGAACTTAAGAGTGAGAGTAAAAATTATTCAAATTGGAGGATTGAGGAAAGTGATTATGAAAGTTTTTAGTGTTAAAGATAAAGAAAAATTATTGAAAGCCTCACATTGCTAATTCATTGTTAATATTTAATTTATTTTATCTTTTCTTCGCAGTTTTCTAGTATACAATTTGGAGTGTCGGAGTTAGTATTTATTACTCCTTCTGTTCTTTTTTAAGTATTATTTTAGAAGAATTTTTTTGTTTCTATTTAAGTATCGCTTTTATAGTTTAATGTTATCATTTGTCAATTATATCTCTACTTTCTCAATAATTCTACTTTACATTTTCTATAAAATTAATTATTTTTTCAATTAGTTATTGAAAAAAGAGAGATGGTGTATGATTGAATTTATTTGAAAAGAGAAAATAAATGAAGGTATAATAGAAAAAATAACTCTAATAATTTATTATCTTAATTGAAGAGTTTTATGTTAAAATGACACTTAAAAAGAAATAGAGAGAATACTATATTAAAGATTATATTTATAACTCATCGATTACTCAGCACATCAAATATTAATTGAGATTCATTTGTAATTAGTTACATTAATTACAAAATTTTAATTTTTTTAATAAATTAATATGACCTTTTATCCATTCTCCTTAAAACAAAGATAGATAATATATTAAATAAAATATATAAATACACATTTTATCACAGGTTTACACCTAAATGACGAAAGACAAAAAAAAATATTAATTATAAAATATCAGTAATTACAAAACATCAATAAAAAATACTTACATATTATAATGTGAACACAAAATTATAAATTACGGATGATTCTCTTCTATTAATATTAGAAATAAATTTTCTCAACATTTTCAAAATAAATTATTTGTTAGATAAACTTTTTTTTTTAATGGAAAGTTATTAATATTGAAAATGTGAGTATTATATTTTTTAAAATGAATGAAAAATAATAATAAATTATTTATAAAATACAAAATTATTAAATATGGATGATGCCCTTCTATTAATATTAGAAACGAGAGTATTATATATTTTTTAATGTTATTAAAATTTTAATTATTATTATTTATTTTAAATCAATTAAAAATAAATATTTAGAAACCTAATTGTAGGTTGAATGTTTTTTAATGAGAATTAATTAAAAAAAGTAGATTAATTGGAAACGTGCAGATTTTTTTAATTGAAAGTGATTAAACATTTAATTATTAGTACTTATTGTAAATCAATTAAAAATAAAATTTTGGAATATAAACGTACCAAAAAAAAAATGTATAGTGTTTTCTTTAATGAAATGCAAGACTATATATCTTCACTATTTTATAATGTACCACATTTGTGTGTTTTAAGAGAGTTTTTGCTTAGTTAAAATAATGTACTTTATAATGTACCACTCTTGAACATACTACAAACTGATATGATATTATAATATAGTATACAAAAAAAAATTGACTTGAAAAAATGTTTAAAAAATGTTAGCAGATAAAATGTTAGCTATATTATCAAAATGATACAAATATAATAAAAATATTTAAAAAAATTATAGATAAGTGTTACATCACATATCCACCAAATTCACTTAGAGTCAAAAAAAGATAAATATTCATTAATAAATCTTAAAATATATTATTTACTCAATATATTCTTAACACTATCATTTAATTTTACATAATGTATTTAAAACATTACTTCAAAAAATTTGCACCAAGTCATTTTATAATATCAATGAATAATTAATGTTATTTTTTCTATTTTATCTTTAAATATTTATTATTCTCTCTTTTAAATTATATAAATATATTTTCCCTATATCACTGATGAAGCACAATTTTATAAAAAATTTATAATTTTTCTTTTTCATACAATAATTCTTATTCTTTCGTGTGAAAAATCCAAATAATTTATAATAAAAAAGAAGTAGTAATTAATTAATTCAATTTTATTTTAGCTTTTCAAATTTGTTTATGACTTGGAACAAAAATTTTTTATCACTATTATAATAATTAATTCAGTCTATTATGTATGATTTCTCTTATACTTTTTTTAGATAAATAAATATCATATACTTAATAAAAAATAATATATAATATTATGACATGATAAAAAAATTTGATTTAAAAAAATATTAATTTTTTTATGATAAAATGTTAATATTTATACTAAAAAAATTATACAAAAATTTATTTTTATAAAATAAAATATGAGACAATTATGATTGATATCCACAAGTATCTTATGAAAACACAAGTCTGTTATTCTTTTTATATTTTATATATATTTTTAAATATCACTATATTATATTTATTTACTATTTATAATGATATTGTGTGATCCGTGCGAATGCACATGTACATGACTACTTAATTATTTTTTACTTTTTCTACTAAAATATACGTTTTCGATGGGCTGAAACTACTTAATTTGCATATATTTTATAAACAGAAAAAATCAATTGTTGATACATTGATATAATTATTTTTATAAATGAGAATAAATTACAAATATTTTTATAAATGAAAAAAAATTAATTGTTGATATAATTATTTTTATAAACGAAAATAAGTTACAAATATTTTTATAAATGAAGACACTCATTCTAAAACTTTTCACCCCCCACAAAACCATGAGTGGGAGACGAGACAAAATGCGGGCATTACATTTTTTAGGCCTAAAAATTGTAAAATTTCATATTACAACATCATCAATACTAATTTAATCGATTTTACATATATGTTTGTATGAAGTATACTATACTATATGTTCATATATTTTTCAACGCAATTTCTATGTATATCCTAACAAATTATAATTACTATTTATATGACAATTATAATTAAAATATTTTTCTTTTAATTCATATAGATTTCTTAATAATTATTATATAATATCTATTTATCATTTATATCATAGTCTCTACCGTACTACAATCAATCAACTCATATATATTCAATGGGTACATGTTATCCATTTTAAATTAAATTTTCAATCTCATTAACTCACCTCGTATGTATATTACAATGCCAATCAACTTAATAATTTCCTCAATTAAATATACCATAATTTAATTTAGTGAAACTTTCTTCCTATCTAAAATCCGATGCAAAATAGTAAATAAATAATTATGTAATTTTAATGATAACAAAAATAATTTTTATACATAACATGGGTATTGTTTATGCCGTATAAAATAATATTCGACTTTTTAGAATTTATCAAATATTGTTTAATCCAAATAATAATTAATTAATTTTTCAAATATCAAATTTAAACAATTGTAATGGAATATTAATCAAAATATTGAATAATAACGGAAACATAAAATTATTGAATAATAAAGAAAACATGAAATTATTTATCAAAATATTGAATAATAAAGGAAACAAGAAGTTATTGATCAATATATTTAATATTAACGGAAACATGAACTTACTGATGAAAATATTGAATATTAATGAGAAAAAAATTATTGATCAAAATATTTAGTATTAATGGGAACATGGAGTTACTTATCAAAATATTAAATATTAACGGGAGCATAGTTATTGATCAAAAACTTTGAATATTAACAAGAACATGGAATTATCGATCAAAATATTGAATATTAATGGAAATATGAAGTTATTGATCAAAATATTGATATTAACGGGAATATGAAATTACTGATCAAAATATTGAATATTAACGGGAAAATGAAATTACTGATCAAAATATTAAATATTAACGGGAATATAAAGTTAGTGATTAAAATATTGAATGTTAACAGGAGTATGAAATTACTGATAAATATTTTGAATATTAACAAAAACATAAAATTACTGATTAAAATATTGAATAATAATACAAAAACTTTACTATTGATATAAATATTTTTGATAATAATTTCAAAAAAAAAATTATTTATATAAAAAATATATATATTATTGATTCAAATATTTTTATATATTGAAAGAATTATAAGTACTGATTTATTATCTCTTTTAAAAAAATTTCATTATATTTTTATTATATTTTAAAAACAAATACGAATATCAGACTCGTATACGCATATATGTCTAACTAGTTTGCTTTTATAGTTAAAACATATTATTTTCAAGAAAAGGATTATCTACCTTAGTACCCAAAAAGGTAGACTGTCTTTTAGAAATTTTTTTAGTGCATTTGATGAACTCAAAAGTGCATAATTTGCCATGTGGCCCTCCTTCACTCTATGTTTTTGGTAGTTGGCTTGGACGGCTATGATGTGGTGAGAGAGGAGGTCCAGAAAAAACATGTGTCTCTTTGATTTTTTATTTAAAAAAAATCTATGTGGAATTGTTTTAAGCATGAAATTGATCCAATAATTATCATAGAATAAAAGGTAGAGTAACTTTAGAGAGTTTAATCTAATGGGACCTCTCAAGATATTTGATAAAAATAATACTTTAATTTAACACATGCATATTAAAGGACATAGCTACTCTTGTCCCCACTTCACAAAAAAAGTAAATTACATGCAAACAAAAGAAATAAATAAAGACAAATTACATTTTCCAAACAAAAAAAGAAGCAAAGTCTAGATCTAGCATATGTGCTTTTGAGTCTTAATTTAGAAGTTCATACGAAACTTGAGTCTAAGAATCTTACTGACATGGAAACACCTTTGATACTCAAAAGCTTAACTTCAGAAAATGATTATTTGGCAGTGAAAAGCTTGAAGGATTTGAAACATGTTATGTGGAGTGAAACATTGAAGATATGGAAGATAGCAATACCAGTGGCTTTGTCTTTACTTTTTCAGTTTCTCAATAACTCTTCAACTTCCATCTATGCTGGTCATCTTGGAGACATTGAACTCTCTTCATTCTCTATTTATCAAACTGTCATCGGTTCTATCTACTTCTCTTTGCTGGTTAGTTAGTTAGTTACTCACTCTCACTCATCCAAAGTTTTTATCTTTTATTTTTATTTTTTTTAAAAGTTGTTAATTTATAAATATCAACAATATATTTATATTAATAAACAAATTATATCGTCAGGGGTCAAATCCTAGACTAATAATTTACACTGATTTAACTCAACTAGCGCATGTTAAATTGTAGTATGGCATGTCAAATGCAATAACAACACTATGTGGCCAAGCTTATGGTGCTGGACAGTTTCAAAATGCTGGTATTTACCTTCAAAGGTCATGGATTATACTCATAATCACTTGCATACTTTTGATACCAGTTCATATATTTGCAACTCCAATCTTAAAACTTCTTGGCCAAGAAAAAGAAATTGCTGATTTAGCTGGAAAATATACAATTCTAGTAATTCCATATATGTTTTCCTATGCTATTAATTTACCCCTCATGAAATATCTTCAATCACAAAGCAGAGTTAATGTTATTATGTACATAGCAATTGTTACATTGCTAACACAAAATGCTTTACTTTATACCTTCATCAAAGTGTTTGATTGGGGAATAATTGGTTTGGCAATGGCAAGTAATATCTCAGGATGGGTATTTTCTGGTGCATTAGTAGTTTATACCATTGGTTGGTGTAAAGATGGATGGAATGGATTCTCTTGGATGGCTTTTAGGGAATTGTGGGAATTTATTAAACTAAGTATTGGTTCATGTGTAATGATCTGCTTAGAACAATGGTATTCTGCTTGCATTATGCTACTTGCTGGTCATCTTCATAATCCTGTCATTGATGTTGGTTCCTTTTCAATTTGGTAAGAATGAGTTGGTTTTAATAATGTTTTTGTCCAGATATATACATCACCTTTTTCTTTTATATTTGTAGCCTTAATATTCAGGGTTGGCACACCATGTTGCTTCTTGGAGTAAGTACAGCAGTAAGGTGAGTGACTATAAACTAAACACATTGAAGTTAGTGAAATCTACCGAAAATCAGGGCTGTCTTTGACTACTGTACAGAGTTTAAAATTCGTCACATTTAAACCGTTGTTAAAATAGGATACTATTTGATTTTTTAGGATTAAACTGCAATTAACTTATACAAGACTTCTAAAAATTTGAGACGACTCTGCTGAAAGTGTTATATATTTTTTTCCATATATTTTCAATGCTCACACTAATTATTGATTGATTCTAATGCTTTGCAAGTGTTCGTGTGTCGAATACACTTGGAATGTCGCATCCAAGAGCAGCCAAATACTCTTTCTTGGTGACAATGTTTCAATCTCTTCTCCTTGGAATCATTTTCATGACTGTGATTTTCTTGAGTAAAGACAAATTTGCATTGATCTTTACCAAGAGTGAGGATATGATACATGCTGCTAGTGAATTAGCATACTTTCTTGGTATAAGCATGATTCTCAACACTGCTTCGCAAATTATTTCAGGTGATTGATTAATCATTTCTTTTGTGAATTTAAAATGTTATTGCATTTTAATAGCTTCTAATAATTTTGAGGAGATTTTATATAGGTGTGGTAATTGGATGTGGATGGCAAGTTATGGTTGGTTACATAAACTTAGCATGTTATTACATTGTTGGACTCCCTATTGGAATTTTTCTTGGTTTCCACCAGCATTTAGGAATCAAGGTATAAAATTACTCTTATTCTAGAAAATGTATCTTCTCTAAATCATCAATAAACTTATTTATTATATGATTTGCATGAATCTTTGTGGCATAGGGTCTATGGGGAGGCACAGCGTGTGGCATTATTCTTCAGACTTCAGTCCTCATACTCATTATTTATAGGACAAACTGGACCAAGGAGGTAATTATGTTTTTGAATATATGAAATATTAGTACTCATAAATCAAATCATTCAGATTTTTCAATGCTTAAGTATTTGTTAAATCTTGTGTAATTTCTGAAACATGGTTGCAGGTAGAGCAAGCAGCAAATCGAATGCAAATCTGGAGCTCTAACAAAGAACAACGAAGTGATTGAAATTAATGTTGTATTAGAAGATTCTTTCAATTCATAGAGTTTGAAATTTGTAGTTAAAGGTCATGTATGATATTCATCCCTTATAATTTAATAAGCTTGATGGCTGTTTCTCGTTGAATGATAGGCTAAGGCAACTTTTATCTAAATCATGCACAAATTTATTTTACTATTGCATCAAATGAGGCACATAAGAATTATGAACACATCAATCCAATAGTATAAGAAAACTTGAAATGTGAAAATTACTTAAAAATCATTAAATAAGTCGATATATATATTTTAAATAGGCTTTCAAGTCGGACTTTTAAAAATGTTCATACAAAAAAAATAGATTATAAGTCACACTCAAGTCTTTTAAGTTTATCGCAAGTCAGACATCTATACCAACACCCTCCTTGGAAAGCTTGCTCGCGCAATAGAGTCGTTAGCAGTTCCTGAAAAGGAGTTTACATTTTGGAGACCTTGAACGGCGACACAATCCCTCAAACATGGAATGCGGCAAAGCTTAATTATATTTTACAACTAATATATAAGTTGAAATGTGATTATTACAAGTGTACTTTTCAATCTAAATTCCTTATCTTAATACATTTTACAACTAACTTGTAAACTTTAAAGTTGCTAGTTGATATGTGATTATTACAAGTGTACTCTTCAATCTATATTGCCTACTTTACAATATTTGAGGGTAAGTTAGACCTTAAGCATTTAAACAATTAGAACTTAGCGACTCTCCAGCATATATGATCTGGTTATAAATTGAGTTGTTTTCTTTTCCAAAAGCAAAGGATGACTTCAAATCTAGCACAAGCATGCTAAATCCATGAGTAATATAAATGTATGAATTTTTGGGTTTCTTGCTTACATCATTTACATGAGTATTGACAACTCTATCCATAGTTACATATTTCTTGTTTACTCTTATTTAGTTTCTTTTTATATCATAGAGCTGATTTTAGTTTCTAAAATATTTTATTTGCATCTTTAGTTGCTCTCTTTATATTAGAGAGCATAGTATTTTGAAAATAGAATTATTAAATTACTTTACTAAGCACTTAGATTTGAAATTAAAAACAACATAATTAATATTTAGGCAAACAAACTCTTAATAAATATCCCAGATAATGAGTATTCTTCAAAACAAAATTGAAATCCTAAGTTGGTGAAATGACAGATTTAAATGATGACAAATGCAGAAAAGGTTAAAATTTTAAGCATCTTTCTTCTTCTTAGGCATTCTGTATCCACCAACAACACAAGCATGGTCCCTCTCAAATGGTTCAAGGGTCACTTGCTCAGATGGCTTAAATTGATCTGCCTTCAACTTGTTCACTTCACTCATGAACACTGTCTCTGCAGGAACTGTAGAATCAATGCAATTGGCCTGCAATACAACAACAAAATTTAGTGACCTTGATTTTTGAGGTACATAGAAACAATAAGCCACAACTCATATCTATGTAATGAAAAGTGGAAAGGGAAGAAACAAGAACACATTGGCAAAACTAAGGACATAAGATATTTGAGGTGCATAGAAAAAATAAGCCAACTCATATCTATGTAATGAAAAGTAAAAAGGGAAGAAACAAGAACACACTTTTAGCTAATGAATGATGGTAAAAAAAGTCAACAAATTAAATTTGGTCTCTGAACAAACCTTGATGGATATAACAAAATTGCCTCCAGCTTTAAGATAGTATGAAGCATTCAGAGCTAAAATTCTTGCCTGCAGCAATAATCAAATTAGTACAAACAAAACAGACTAAATCATGGAACCCAATGACCAAAAATATTTTGTTTGTCTATTCAGAACTTAATAAAATGAAATTCATTTATAGAATTTGAGAACAAATAAACATCAAAAGTATCAAATGAAAAATCTAACCAACCATCCAAGAAATAAATACAAATTGTTGTACTTGAAAATAGAGAATTTCAAAAAAAAAGCAAGTTCTTAGACATGTCATGATTAAAATAATCAACATAATAAAACAATATTGAAGGAAAAAACAGTTTGTTTTGTACATCAGAATCTCGGGTCTACATCATCCAAGAAGTCTTGAAGGGGAATCCGAGTAACTCATCATATGCACTGATTGTAACCAAAACATTTTTAAACCATGAAATGAAGATAAAAAAAACAAAATAGAACTTAATATAAAAATTGAGAAGCTAAGCAATGCTTCAAAATTTTAAATGAATAAAAGGTAAAGCTTTAAAAAATACGGGGGAAAAATTTAAATAAAAAATTAGGCATAAATATGTTTTATGAATGCCAGTTCATCCAAAAGCTTCACATGAATGCAATCGAAAAACTCCTACAATAGCAGTTCATGAAATAAATAGAAAAAATACAATAAAGCTCTTAATCAACTTTCCAATAAGTGATAGACAAACATCAGTTAAGTTAGTGAAATAATAACAGTTTGATGTTCTGAAACAGTTTCACAACAGAAAAGTATACTTTAAATTAAATTAGCCACAATGTAAACCAAACAACTAAAAGTTTTCTTGTTCCATCCGTTAAAAAAAATTAGCCACAATGTAAACCACACCTGATCAGGCTGAGCAACATCAGAAAATATGACATCAACCATGCCAACTAACATTCTGTACTTGGCTGGATGTCTAGCATCTTCAATAATGGGAATAACATTAGTACGCTTTTTAGCCATGTTAACCAAATCACGCCCACTTCGGTGGGAGAACTCCACTGCATACACAACTCCAGTCTACATAAACAGAGCAGGTTATTCTAATCAATCCTGACACAAATTGCTAAAAAATACACGAGATTTAATTAGTACTTACTGGACCAACAATATCAGACACATGAGAGACAGTTGTTCCAGAAGCAGCTCCTAGGTAAAGGACTTTAGAACCGGGTTTCTGTATAGAAAAACAAAACATAATCATCAGTGATCGATTATGTCATGTAAGAGATAATGTTGAAGAAAATGAAGCCTCTTACAATCCAAATGTTGTCAACACCACCAAGCACTGCAGCTGCCAACTTGGAACGGAAAGGGTTCCAAATTCTATACTCAACTTTTGTACCATCCTCATTCTGCAGTTGTAACATATAACAAAGTTGGCGTGACACGATTAATTAGTAACTTGTAATTTTGAAACCATGACATACAGAAATATTTTGTAAGCTTTGAACAGATATTGTTGTTTTAAAAAGTAAAAATTAGAACATTAATACTGTATAGTATTAATAAATCATGAACAATTAAATGAGCTAGGGGATGTTTGGATAAACAGCTTATTTGCAGCTAGACCATTATGGATCACCTAGCATAAGCTATATAACAAAAGTTTATGAAAAATGTCATAAAAATAAACGGTTTTGAAAAAATCACCCAAATAGTGTCATACTTAATTCAGTAGATAAGCTTGAACAAGTCAATCCAAACAAACAGGCCCTTAATTTAATATGAATGGTTGATTGCAAGTAATAGCATAAATGAACTGAAAAAGCAAAAACTACTAAATTAATTCAAACCATAAACTGTTACAGATTACAAAGAAATTACCTGCACAGAAACCCTCTTCTCGTTGTACACAGCCTCCCCAGGAACAAGATTCCTTGTAACAAGAGCATCTTCCTTACCCTTAGCAATGAAAATACCGTCATGTCTATGAGGCTCAACAACAACCTTGCTTCCTCCTTTCATTCCACCTCTACCACCATCACGACCACCTCTTCCACGGCCTCGTCCTCTACCACCACCACGCGGCTTAAAATCACTTCCTCTTCCTCCACCAAAACCCCTACCACCACCACCTCTTCCTCCTCTGTCACCTCCTCTACCTCCTCTGAACCCTCCACCAGAACCACCACGACCTACACAAATCAAACACAATTAACAACATATAATCAAATACATCACTACATGTTTCTACAAATTGAAATCAATAAAGAAACATTTGATCAAACACTACACGTGCATAAAAATTCAGCAAATAATTATCATAGATTGAAACAGAAAAGGGTTGGTAGTGTTCTCCTTATACCTCGGGGAACAACCATCTTCGATGCAGTGAGATGGGAGTTAGCGGCGACAAAGGGTTTATGAAAGTGAAGAGAGTACGAAGAGAGGGTTTGTGAAAACGAAAGGGATTTATAGCTAGAATTAGGGTTTTGGTTTTGGATTTTTTATGCCTCTGGAGCGTATCAAAGAGTGATTGATGGATAATGGACTGACCCGGAAGTCCAATGGAGAAGCCCAGTGCTTTTTTTCTATGTTGTTAAGAGTAATTTTAGGTTTTGTTTTGGCAATTTCACTTCTCACCCTTGTTATATGAGGTGCACCCATGAAAATTTGAAATTGTATATGTTTATCTGATCACATTAAATATCATATTCCACAAAACTTAGTTCAGATATGCACAACTTAATAAACCCCCAGGAGGAATTCAGAGATGCATGTCTGAAGACACTTTTCGCTTTAGAAAATTAAACATTTAGTTCGGATATGCATCTTCGAATACACCTCAAGGTAAATTTGGAATGGCAAATCTAAATATATGCCTGTGTGATTTTTACATAATCAATTTTCAACTATTTTGGTGTTTTCAATTGAAACTAATTTCAATTCGATAAAATATGTCGTTATTTGTCTTAACGATTAAAGAAAACGAATATTATAGAACCACATAAAACTTTAATAAAACTGAATATTATGTAAACCAAAAATATTAGTACAACAATTATTCTCAAAGTTGATTAAAATTATCCAAAATACAATCAAATGCATACTCTACTATGTATGTCTGGTCCTAACACTTTGGCTTCTCCTCTGTCGACACTAACCCAAGGCATTTTATGTCTCGAAAAGAATGGAATGTGCTAGCTTAATCGCTTCCTCGCGACCTCTCTCGAACAGTTCAAAATCGATGCTCTCGATTGTAATCTGCATGATGTTTTGACAGATCGGCAAGACGTCAACAACATGATCATCATATGTTTTCTCATTCTCCAGGATCTCCTCATGAACAAGCCTAGGTGGACGTCCAGTTGTGTCTTGTTTTATGTATGGGTGTGACACCTTGTAGAACCATATCATGTAACCATCCATATAAGACCACTCAGATGTGACTGTCTGACTCTGATACTCCTCTAGAACCATATGACTCTCAAAGTCCGCCATAATGGCCTATAGGTCTCTACGAAAAAATAGTGATGGGAGTAGCTTGGAAGGGTGAGTTAGGAATTATCTGCACGTACCCAAACAGTCGCATGTGCTGCTCTAGCAGATACCGACACGACATGTTGGTCACATATAACAACCATCCAGAGTATAATAAAATGGGGACGAATGGAAATTTGTCTCGCTGACCATTGTATGGCCTCCATTTTACGTTGTCATGTTAAGTCTGGTCGATACACACGTGGTACAGCAAGACATGACCATTCCCTCTACTAAAGATAAACCACAAAGCATATGGCCAATCATTAGTATAAAATGGGTCACGGTTAAACTCGTGGATGAGGTGATAGTGAGAAAGGAATCATCCCTGAAAACGAATAAGAAAAATATTAGCAACAATTATGAAAAAATTAGTTTGTAACTTAATTGTGGGGTTTGGAAATTACCGTAAGTAGGGTGCATGAGCTTGTCATCTGCTTCGTTGTCCATTTGCAACCTTCATTCAGGTTGGAGTATAGGTAAACCAAGCATGTCACCCCTAATTCCACTCGCCAATGGACTCCAAGTCAATAAAATATTTGAGGTAGGCCGCAAATATAGGTGTGCCAACCAAGATTAAGAAGTAGCATCTTAGGGCAAACTCCTTATGGTAGATAACCCAGAGATCATCAGTGTCCGGGTGATCAGCTATCTCCAAGTTTGTGCCATACAACTCCGCCAACCAAGCAAACTTGGCATGTGCACTCCTGGTGATACTACACTGCACAAAGGTTTCCGCAGGGTCAGCTCCAAAATAAACCTCAATCATATGTCATGCCTCAGTCATGCTAGTCTTAGAATGATCAAGAAACTCTCCTTTAATGGGAAGGTGTATGAGTCATGCTACATCATTTGTTGCAATAGTCATCTCACTGATGGGGAGGTGGAAAATGGTGTCTCATTATGCCACCTCTCAACAAATGCAGCATGCATGCCATGAATGATGTTGGTGTACCCGGAAGCACAAAGACCTGCAAGCCCAGAGTTTTAAAGTATATTTTGGAACCAGGATTCCTCAGACTGGTAAAGATTGTAAATCTTTCTTGCATGATTCACACATTTCAAAATGTCACGTTCATGTTGAAAATAAAATAAAAGATGATCAATTGAGTTGAACTGAGATACAAAATAAAAATAGACTAAGTTTAGAAACATACCTCTCTTTCCCAAACATGCGGAGCCACATGCTCTTCAAAGTAAATAAGTAAAGACGTGTTTGTGGGCCCTTCTGGAAACGGGTATGCAAGGGGGTATTCGTAGTAACTAGGACCCGAGGTGCAACTCGCTCTTGGGGTGCAACTAGGTCATCCTCAGCAAATGGGACCTTGGGTTCAACTGGGTCATCCTCATCATAGGGAACACCACTTTGGGATCTTGATCCTCGTAATAGTCGGCTCCTTCTAAGGGTGGCTCTATCTTGCTGCTGTTGAAAAGCCCTTTCGTGACGAGTAGAGGCAGTATTGATGGGTCGTCTGAGTCTTATCCTGCCTTGGTTTTCAATCATAATCTGGAAAAAAAATATAACAAATTATGAGGAATGAAAGAGTTCAGATATGCATATCTGAAATCTAAAACATAATAGTTCGGATATGCATATCTAAAATAAAACTTCAATTGCTTCAATGGCAAAATTGTTTTTGCAAGTGCCTTATGTAACACCTCAAAATAATTAGGTTATTTATTTAATTATTTAATTAATTATGATGAGTATTTGTGACATGTTTGTGAGTATATGTTATGTTTTGATGAATATGATGTGTGATGTGATGATATGGGTAGTATAATGGAAATTAAGTAATATTTAGTGTTTTAATAGTTTTAGATAATTAGAGTAATTGTTTAGAATTATTTTAATTAGTGAAATAAGATAATATATTTTGTAGAAATAACAAGGGAAAGGTGGTAATTGGTGAATTGATAAGTGTGGGTAATATAGGAAGACCATAGAAATGGTCCAAGGGATAAACAAGGAAAATTGAGTGTCAGTGTTTCATTCTGTGCAATCGTGAGAGAAGAAGAATGTTGTGAAGAACTAGGGCACGAAGAGGAAAAGAGAGAAAGAATTGTCTGTAGAGCTTGGAACAAGAATCGATTACTAGGATAATTTAAGGTAAGAGGGGTTATCCTTATTACTATGACTAATATAGAGTTTTGATGTATGTGGGTTGTTGGGGTTTTATGATGAATGTGATAACATGATGATTATGATGAAATAACGGATTAAATTGGTGATATAATGATGTTGTAATTCCATGAAACAAAGTATATGATGTCTTTTATGATGTGTTTTTATTGGATGGTGAAAACATGTGATTTATGTGGATTATAGACTGAATAAGAATTGAAATCGTGTGGAAATTGAGACTGGTGCAATGCAGAAAATGCACAAGAAATTTCCTGTTTGCGTTGCATTACCGGGCGAGTATACATTTTCTCCGAGAGAAGTAACTTTTCCCTTTACACGCCAGGCGAGAAGAAAGTGAAGGCCAGAGGGGGAAAACAGGACCCCTAGAAAATATATCGGGAAATGGACTCGCTCCAACTTCGTCGGGCAACGTATAGGCGATCGTGAACTCGTCGAGCGAGGAAGGAGGCTAATGAAGGGTGGAAAGTGATGTGCTCTTGGAATTTTGTATGGAGAAGGTGGTTTGCCCCAGTTTCGTCGGGCAAGCCTCAGGTAAGCAAGCTGCTTCGCGGGGCATGCCTCAGGCGAGAAGCAGATGGCAGAATTTTTGAAGTTTCATAACTTGAGTTTCTAGACTCCATTTGATACGTCGTTCAAATCATTATGAAGCTAACACGATGAAATACAATTATATAGGATTAGATGATTCATATGATGTATTTCCAGTGCCTATGTTTTGATTAATTGGACGGTTTTGTGATTGAATTATTATGATGTATGTGTAAATGATGAATTGATGTTGCTATGGTGATGTTGTGTTGTACAATGAAGTATTTGAAGTTATTGTGATGCATAAAGTTGATGATTGCATATTTGATGTGTATACATACCGTGTGAAGATAATTATATGATGATTACGTGGATGGTGATGGGTTTTGACTAGCAGTGGTCATATTTTATTGTGTTGTTGTGCATCAGGCATTCATGGCATATGTCAGAACTTTGGTCCAGTGATATTCTTAGGACGATTGGTCCAGTGATGTTGATAAGACGTTGGTACAATGATGGCATCAATCCTATAGTGTGGATTGAATGTAATTTTATGATGTGCTCCGGTTCCAAGCGGGAATCAATCCTATGGTGGGGATCTTTGGAGGAAGATGACTTGGTCATCAGTGAAGCTTTGGTGCCACCTAAATGAGTCAATAATGTGGCATTATATTATGTGTGACATTGCATAATGGTTGATTAAGTGATGTTGATGGTGTTCTGATCTAAGTGATGTTTGGTGATGGATGTTAACATGATGATATAATGATATATTTGGTGTGTGTTAATGATGTAAAAGTGTGAGTATAATTATGAAGTATGATGTTATGTGGAATTTATGGTGACATGTTGTTGTGCTATTATATCTATTCCATATATATTTTATAATAATTTGTGATTACTCACTCTTTCTGCTTGAAAATGTTGCCTCTATATATGGGTAACTTGCAGGTAATCAAGAATAGTTCGTTGAAGCTTAGAGGATAGCTTCAGAGTGCATTATTTGTTTCCATTGAATTAAGAGGTCTTGCTCTGATGTGTAACATTGGGGTCGAGAATGTTTGATTTGAACTTTATGTTTCATTCTGTTGACATGAATTAGATGTTATTTTAATTGTTTGAGTAGTTTTAAGTTATAACTCTCAAATGATGAGGAACGATGATGGT